TAATATGTTTTGACATTTGGGAGAGCTGTATAACTCAGTGAACTAGTATTTTCTAAATGATGAATGCATGATGTTGCAAAAGCATGACTGGGTAAAAACAGTGCATGAAAGGACAAGACTGGCTGTGCATGGTGGCTCACGCCTCTAATCCCAGCACCTTGGGAGGCCGAGGCAAGTGGATCACCTGAAGTCAGGAGTTTGAGCCCAGCCTGACCAAAATGGTGAAACCCCGTCTCTACTAAAAATAAGCCAGTCATGGTGGCACCTGTAATCCCAGGCAGGAGAATTGCTTGAATCCAGGAGGCAGAGGTTGCAGTGAGTTGAGATCACACCACTGCACTCCAGCCTGGGCGACAGGGTAAGACTCTGTCAAAAAAAAAAAAGGACAAGATTGACTACCACTTTAATGTAACAGAGTACAAACAGTTAACTGATAAAGTTTTAGATTCCAAAGTGTTAGCCTTAAAGAAATTACAGTTATCTGAGAAGGCTTTTAAAATGCTTCTCCCCACTCTGCACGGTGGCTCATGCCTGTAATTGCAGCACTTTAGCAGGCCAAGGGGAGGATCGCTGAGCCCAGGAGTTTGATATCAGTCTGGGCAACATAGCAAGACCCCATGTATTAAAAAAAAGTTTTTCTTTTAATTAGCTGGTCATAATGATGCACATCTGTGGTCCTAGCTACTTGGGAGGCTGAGGCAGGAGGATTGCCTGAGCCCAAGAGTCTATAGTAAGCTGGGATTGTGCTGCTGTGCTCTAGCTGGGCAACAGAGTGAGACCTTGTGTCTAAAAAAATAATAAATAAATAAATAAATACACACATAAAGTAAATAAATAAAATGCATATTTGTGTGGTGCTGGCTTTATTTCATATATTCCAACCAAAACAACATATTGCAACAGGTTGAATGCAGAAACATGAGAATCCAGCTTGGTGCTGCTAAGCCAAATATGAAAAAAATATACAAAAAATGTAAACCAATGGCACTCTTTTCACTAAATTTTTTTTGTTTTTGAAAATATAGTTATTATTTTAAAAATACATTTAAATATAAAAGTTGATGACCTTTATATTTAAGTGAATAAAATAGTTTAAACATCTTAGGTCTAATTTCTAATATAGTAAACATCAATATGTGTTATACATGTAAACAAGAACTTTGGGGGTTCTCAATTTATTTTTTTTGAGACAGAGTCTTACTCTGTTGCCCAGGCTAGAGTACAGTGGCGTGATCTTGGCTCACTACAACTTCCGCCTCCCAGGTTCAAGTGATCCTCCTGCCCCAGTCTCCTGAGTACCTGGGATTACAGGCGCCCGCCACTACACCCAGCTAACTTTTGCATTTTTAGTAGGAGGGGGTTTTGCCATGTTGGCCAGGCTTGTCTTGAACTCCTGACCTCAAGTGATCTGCCTGCCTCAGCCTCCCAAAGTGCTGGGATTACAGTTATGAGCCACTGTGCTCAGCTTCAATAATTTTTAAGAGTGCAAAAGGGTCCTGAGACCAAAACAGTTTGAGAAACACTGGTGGGAATTATTCTTGAAGTAAAATGGCATGCATTTCTTTAAAAATTCAGTAATTTTGACTTTTCCCTCTCTGAAACTAACCCTCCCTTAATCTGATTTTGTGAGGTTTTATTGCATTTTTTAAAAATTCAGGGACCACACTCTAGCCAAATGATGATCAGATCTAGGTATTCATTTTAGTCTATTATAACACGCAGGATAATATATTTCAGATCAATACTTAATACGCTAATATTATTTAATTTTTCTGAAAAGTTACTTTCAAGGATGGTTTAAATAATGCAAGCAATACTTTTAAACTACAGTTATACTCCACTGTTCTTCCCAGAAACCCAAATACTTTTGACAGTCAGTTTAACGTCATGTGCGCAAAATGTCCTCAGAGAAGCTGATAAAACACAATTTGGATTTTTACAACAGTGATTTTCAAAGGGGTAGGCATGAGAGGTGGGAATGGGTTTCACCTGCCCTCCCTGAGGGGAGCATCAGAATGTGGGGTGGACATAACTAGAGAAGTTTCTTCTGTCCGCACCGGATATATTAATATTTACTGCCCTTCCATTCACTGTCTTCTCTTACAGACTTCCTGCTCTTGTAAGCAACCACTACAGATTTCTCAGAAGTACTGTGGCAAATAAAAATGATTGAGAATCATTACTCTACAATTTTCTATTCCACTAGAGAGACAGTTTAAAATAAAATAATAATAATAATTTTCCTGAAGAAAATAACAGGAAATAGGCTGGGCACAGTGGCTCATGCCTGTAATCCCAGCACTTTGGGAGGTGGGATTGGGCAGATTATGAGGTCAGGAGATCGAGACCATCCTAGCCAACATGATGAAACCCTGTCTCTGCTAAAAATACAAAAAATTAGCTGGGCGTGGTGGTGGGTGCCTGTAATCCCAGCTACTCGGGAGGCTGAGGCAGGAGAATTGCTTGAACCTGGGAGTGGGAGGTTGCAGTGAGCTGAGATGGGGCCACGGCAGTCTGGCCTGGCGACAGAGCGAGACTGTGTCTCAAAAAAATAAAGAAAGAAAGAAAAAAGAAAATAACAGGAAATAAATAGAACCAATCAAAACTTTGAAGGATTTGTGCTTATACTGAGATTCTATCAGGTTCTCCCTCTCTATTAATTTGAAAGCAAAACCATTACATTTTAATTGAATGTTTAAAAAAATGAATTATTTCAGTGACTTGTTTTATTTGGAATTCCATTATTTCTTTTTCTGAATAATATAGTTTTCCAGATTTAAGTAGTAAAAGTCAAAGACTTTGTTGTAAATCCTTTTTTTTTTTTTCCCCAAGACAGAGTTTCCCTCTTGTTGCCCAGGCTGGAGTGCAATGGTGTGATCTCGGCTCTCTGTAACCTCTGCCCCCTGGGTTCCAGCAATTCTCCAGCTCCAGCCTCCCAAGTAGCTGGGATTACAGGTGCTCACCACTATGCCCGGCCAATTTTTGTATTTTTAGTAGAGACAGGATTTCTCCATGTTGGTCAGATTGGTCTCGAACTCTTGACCTCAGGTAATCCGCCTGCCTTGGCCTTCCAAAGTGCTGGGATTATAGGCGTTAGCCACCATGCCTGACTGTAAATCATTATAATAATTGTATGCAATTATTATGAATCACAGCTTCCTGTGTCCACACCCCTTTGTAATGTGACATTGTCACTCTGTGCATCAGAAATCGGAGTTTATTTTACCACCTCTTGTATCTGGGATGATCTTACGACTTGCTTTGATCAACTGAATATGATGTAGTGATCTTGTACATTTTAGAGTCTAGGCTTTAGGTCTTTGCTCCCACTCTCATCTTGGAATGCTAAGACCACCATGCTATGGAAAAGCTCAACCTACCACAACAAGATGAGAAGCCACGTGGAGAACTAAGGCTTCCCAGGCAATAGCCAGCACCAACTGCCAGACATGTGAGTGAGGCCATCTTGAACCCTCCAACCCTAGATGTATTCAGGGTTCTCCAGAGAAACAGAACCAATGGGATGTGTGCGTGTGCGTGCACGCGTGTGTGTGTGTGTGTGTGTGTGTTTATAAAGAGATTTATTTTAAGGACTTGGCTGACTTGATTACAGAGCTTTCAAGTCCAAAATCTGCAGGGTGGGTTGGCAGGCTGGAGACCAGGGAAAAGCTGATGCTGCAGTTCAAGTCTGAGAGCCATCTACTGGCAAAATTCTTCCTTGGTCACGAAAGGTAAGTGTTTTGTTCTACTTAGGCCTTCAGGTGATTGGATAAGGCCTATTCACATTATGGAGGTCAATCTGAGTTATTCAAAGTCCACTGATTTGTTAATCTCATTGCAACAAACCCTAACAGAAACAGCAGAATGTTTGACCGTGTATCTGGGCACCATGGCCCAGTCAAATTGACACATAAAATTAATCATCATACCAGTCAAGCTGTCAGATGATTGTAATTGAATGGGTGACCCCAGGTGAGACCATGAAAAACACCAGATTGCTAACCCACAGAATTGCCGTAAGTTGTTTTTATTTTTGCCACTAAGTTTTGAGGTGATATGTTACATAACAAAGGGTAACTGAAACAGAACTACCTCTGAAAGTGTCTGCGGTTTTAGGGTGGGGGTTATGAGTAAGTGGGCATTAACTTTTGTGGATGCTGTAATCAAGTGGAGGGATATTGTGTATATCACATGCAAGTACAGTGTCAAACAAAATGTTATATACATAAGTGTAGGATGAGGCAGGGACACACACAAGGCGAATTGGTTTGTGAATCCATTTATTTATTTACTCATTCATTTAGCAGATATTTATTGCACACCTCCTGTACACCAAGCACTATTCTAGAAGCTGGGAAAACAAGACAGACACTGTCCCTGCCTTTGTGTAACTTACAGTTTGAGGGGAAAAGGCAATTAAATAAGCAATTTCAAAGAGTTTGACAAGGAAGTACAAGTTGCTGCTGACTACACTAATTTTCGGGTTTAGGACAGTCTATCTAGAAGTGATATTTAATCCTTCATATTGATTTAAATGAAGGATGAGTAGACATTTAGTCAGGAAGGGGACATATGAAACCATATGATGGGTTTGGGTCCGGAGAGTACTAAAATGTTCCGGACAGAGGAAATATATGTGAAGGCTCAGAGGTGAGAAAAATCATGGTGTACTAAACTCACTACAAAAACTTCTGTAGGTTATGTGGGGAGGCAGGAGAGATGAAGCTGGGGAGTGAGGCAGCAAATCAGCAATTTAAAAAGTTTGGAGTGTTTAGTTTGGAGCTGAAAAGTGACAAGATAAATTCTAGATTTTAGACAAAAGCAATCCAACTTGTGAATGGAGAAGGATTTGAGAGGAGAAAAGAAATGAGCTGCTGTCAGTTCAGTGTATTTAAATGAGGATACTGGTAACAAGGATGGAGAGACACACGATTATACTTGGGAAGTGAGAGTAGAAAGAATTAGGATTATTTCTTGATTTTCTTTTTGCTCAAACAACTGAGTAGATGAAGTCATTAGTAGAAACCAGGAACACTGAAGAAATAGTGAACAATTTCTTTGAGTTATCAAAGTGACATGTCCTGTAAGTAGCTAGATGTACTGGCTTGTAACTCAGGAGAGCTGCCGCGTCCTGTGTAATAGGAAAAGCTACTCCTGGATGATGTCTAAAGCCAGATGGCAGAATTTAGGGGATGGGTTAGACCTGCACTTGTTTTCATGGAGAAGAGGCGGGTATAAAGTGGCAGGGTGAGATTACTGTAAAATATCTGCATTCAAAGGGCTAAGAAAAAGAGAAAATGCTGGAAAGGCTACTTGTTATAAACGCAGCCGGGCACGTTAAAACAAATCACGAAGCACAGGCGGCCAGTCTGGGTGGCTAAGTTAAGACCCGGCGTGATTCCGTGTGCACAGATAGATACACAAAAGGGAAAGAGCCCCTTCTCGCCGGAAGCACAACCTCTGCCCTCTGGGGCATTACACATTCCTCCGCGCCGGAAGAACGCGTCGCGCCTCGCGTCGCCTCACCTCGCCCAGTCGGCTTCCCTCTATACCGTAGCACTGATAAAGGAGATCGTGCCCCTCTCCAAACCCCACCAAGAGCGAGCCGCGTGGAGTCGTTGGACTGGGCTGAACTTTGGCAGGCAAGGGGAGAAACAGCCATACTGGGCTGCCGGGCAAAAAAGGCATAAGGAAGGGTCAGACACACAGGCTTCGCGCCGCTGCGGAAGGATTCTGTTTCCTGCAGGGAGCCGAGGGCTTTGACAGCACGGTAACTTCCGGTAAAGTCCTGAACCTCAGAGGAAAAGCCCTGCGAGAAACAATAACAAACGGGAGCAGGAAGCGATTCTGGGGTTTCTGTGTTGAACAGTTCTCGTCCGCGAAGATGCGCTTCGGCCTGTGTCAGGGGACGTGAACAAACTCGGCTTCAGCCAGCTTTTCACCACCTGTTCCCCACGGGGACCCCCGCCCCCGCCGTTGCAATGGCGGGCGTGGGGCCGGGGGGCTACGCGGCGGAGTTCGTGCCACCCCCAGAGTGCCCTGTCTTTGAGCCGAGCTGGGAGGAGCTCACAGATCCTCTCAGCTTTATCGGTCGCATCCGGCTTTTGGCGGAGAAAACCGGCATCTGCAAAATTCGGCCGCCCAAGGTACCTCAGTCTGTGAAGAGAGCGGGAGAAGGAAGAATGGGGGAGTCCATGCCCTGGGTTTAGCCTTACTTTTCTGGTCCTTCTGTTCTTTTATATGTACTCTCTCTGTTTTGCGACAACTGGAGGCTGTTTCTGGATATTTTTGCCTCGGTTTCTTTTGTGGTCTTAGGTAGACACATCTGAACGCGAGAAAGTGGTGTCTCTGGGGCCTCTTCCGCCTAGAACTCGGGAACTGATACTTTTCTCAGCTGTGGGCAAGGGTAACAAAAGGCTTTAGGCCTTTCGTTAAGCAATATGGTGCTTAAAGTACAGTATTATGACATGACATACTCTTCCCTCGCGTATCTTCATTATGGTTTGATAGTCGGCTATCTCTTTATTCAAGACCTGCTTGCATCAAATAATTTGCAGGCCTTATCTCAGGGTTAGGGTTTCTCAAAAGCTAATCTGAGCTCTAGTCCTCCAGGATGCTATCGCTAGACAAGAACTCCAGACTAATTATGGCTGCAGTGAAAAGTCTTACCGGGGGAAGAAAATTTAGAGGTTTAGGAAGAATTGGTCTATAATGGAGGTGGAAGGAAATGTTGAAATCTCTTGACATAGGGAACTAAACATCAACGATTTTAGAATCAGTTATTGCAGATAATTAGGTTTGCCTGTAAGGTTAATTATAATCTCGACTTTGAGGTAAGGAGACACTATCCCTTGTGTGGAGGGAATTAATGCCCCAAGAGGTTGAGTTAAAGTGCTCAAGGTCAAAAGGTGTTTGTCTGTACCCATTAGACCAAGCGCTTTTTAAATGATGTTACTGGACCACTTGGCACCAGGGTCAACTGGATGCTTGTTTAAATGCAGATTTCTAGGCTTCTGGTTGTGGAAGTTTCTGCTTTTCTAGCAACCAATCTTAGATAATTCTTCATGTAAGTTGAGGTTTTTGAACCATCGCTTTAGTCATTGCTTCTTGAAGACACATTTTGCTTTATGTTTGCAAGTCTGGGTAAGTTAAAACACCAGATGTGAGATCCTGGGCAAGTAGCAAAGTATATTTTGAACCTAGATTAGTTTTTCTGATTCTAAAACAGACATAATGCTCTCACTATGTTGAATGAATTTGTTTAAGATTATAGGCTATTCATTTCAAGCAGAGGATTAACAAATAATTGCTGTGATGATATGCAATGCCATTCTCCAAAAACTTCCATTTAACCCTTTTTTCTATCATAATGACCTCATGTTAACATCTCAAGCATTGAAGGTTTTCCTAAATCATGTTTTAATCTACTCTTGAATTTATTCATTAGAAATTCTATTCAAGGTTATTCGATTAAAAAAAAAAGCTTTTTTTTTAACTTAAAAAATGCTGGAAGCTGAAATAATGCTTTCTCTTTTTATGTCACATTATTGAAAATAAATCTTGTTTACACTTGGAATTTAATTTTAGTATTGGTAGATTCTTTAGTTTCCAAGGTAAGGGTTTTTTTTCCTACTTCTCACTTTTAAAAATAAGTTTACTACTATTTAGGCCAAATCAAAGTATGTTCTTTAGATCCCATGTGAAATATGCTATCTCATTTTAGTTATATTGCAATCTGAAAATTGTTCTTGTTTTGTGTGTTTGCTTATTATTATTATTTTTTTGAATATTTGGGTTTCCAGGAGGTGGGCTTTGAACAAAACATCTGTGTAACATAAAGTGCTCTGTCACATTACACATAAATTTTAAAAAAAGTTTAAATAAATAAGTTCTTTTTCAAAGTTTCTTTTTAATTTTTAATTCTACCCTTAAAAAAATTTTTTTTTTCTTTGAGATGGAGTTTCAGTCTTGTTGCCGAGGCTGGAGTGCAATGACGTGATCTTGGCTCACTGCAACCTCCTGACTCCTGGGTTCAATCAGTTCTGCCTCAGCCTCCCAGGTAGCTGGGATTACAGGCATGCACCACCGGTTAATTTTGTATTTTTAGTGGAGACATGGCTTCTCCATGTTGGTCAGGCTGGTCTCCAACTCCCGACCTCAGGTGATCTGCCCGCCTTGGCCTCTCAAAGTTCTGGGATTACAGGTGTGAGCCACTGCCCCCTGCTCCCTTTTTGTCTTAAAAAAATTTTTTTTTCATTTTGGTAAAACTGTATGTTTACTAGACACTGCTTTGTCATATATGACCTCAGTGAATTTCACTTGAGTAACTTGGGAAAGCATAATTGTGGGATATAAATAGTGGGACTGGTTTGAAGACGATTGCTTCTCCGAGCAATACAGGTTTAGTGTCCCTACTTTAAAAATTCCAGATCTACCCCCTTACGGTAGATTCATAGTGAGCTAAAAAAATAAAAATAAAAAAAATTCCAGATCCAAAATGCTCCAAAATCTGAAACCAGGTTACCCTGAAACATTATTATTCTTTTTCTTTTATAGAGACAGGTTCTCACTCTGTTGCTTGGGCTGATCTCAAGCTCCTGGGCTCAAGTGATTCTCCTGCCTCAGCCTCCCACTGTGCTGGGATTGCAGGTGTGAGCTACTGATCCTAGCTTGAACAGATTACTTTTTTCATTGTATTAATGGTATGTTATATTTTTCCTGTTAACTACTTATGTGGGAATAAGTGTAAGGAAATAATTGTTTATTGGTAGCTTGTAAATGCAGAGTCAGAAATTATGGTGATGCCAGACAACTACAGATTGTCCACACGGGTGGCTGAGATAGTGACACCTTTCCTTTCTGATGGTCCAGTGTACACATGCATTATGCACCAGATTATTAAAAATATCGTATAAAATTTCCTTTAGGCTACATGTATAACTTTATGTGAAATAAAAGAATTTTGTATTTAGACTTGGGTCTCATCTCCAATATATCTCATTATGTATATGCAGATACTCCAGAATATGGAAAGTGAAATCCAAAACACTTCTCATCCCAAGCATTTCGTGTAAGGGATACTCAACCTGTATTAAAATTATTTTATCTAAAAAATTTGCTCATTTTGTTTCTATAATAAAGAAGACTTATAAGTTAGTCTATTATCACCATGATTTGTGGCAAAAACCCCCTTTAAGGGAATAAATAACCCATTCCTTGCTTACATACCACTGTGTTTTGAAAAAACTCTTTCTATTTAGGACTGGCAGCCTCCATTCGCCTGTGAAGTAAAAAGCTTTCGTTTCACTCCAAGAGTCCAGCGCCTGAATGAACTTGAGGTAAGTGTTGTGTCACCATTTTTTCTTCCTGATTTATTCTTTATTGTTAGGGCTGTAGGTAGAGAACTTTGCACAGCCTAGAGTTTGTGTTAATTGGTACTGACTGGAATAGTTACTTGATGTTTGGAGGAAGAGTGTGCTTTTTAAAAAAATTGTGCAAAGCAGTTACGGTTCTTCCATTTAACTGAGATCACGAGAAACTATCTGTAGCTCTGTTTTTCTAGTGGAAATGTTCAATGCTTAGCTTCAGAGACTTAGAATTCCTGAATTCTACTTTCTCTATTGTTTCTTACTCTGCTAAAATTTTTGTTAATCTCGGAAGATTCTGTCTTCCTTGGTTCTTGGAAAATGGATTCTTAAATCCTGTTTTAAAATCCTAGTTTTCAAAGTTTTTTCTTTTGTTTTGGTTTCGGTTTTAATGGAACTTTGTCAGGACTGTTAATCTGATTTATTAAGATCTTCCTTTGGCCGGGTGCAGTGGCTAAGGCCTGTAATCCCAGCACTTTGGGACGCCAAGGTGGGTGGATCACAAGGTCAAGAGTTCGAGACCAGCCTGGCCAATATGGTGAGACCCCCCGTCTCTACTAAAAATACAAAAATTAGCTGGGTGTGGTGGTGGGCCCCTGTAGTCCCAGCTACTCGGGAGGCTGAGGCAGGAGAATTGCTTGAACCCAGGAGGCGGAGGTGGCGGAGGTTTGCTGAGATCGCGCCATTGCCCTCAGCTGAGCAACAGAGTGAGACTCCGTTTCACACACACTTAAAGATCTTCCTCTAAGTATTACTGATTTATCTTACGTTTTCTAAATAGAAGACTATGTGTTGCTGTTTTTCTTGTCTGCTGATTTTTAGAAGGTTCTTCATTGTGATATTAAAACTTTTAGAGTACAGAAGGAAAATCATTGATAGAAAAGGTTTATTATGTCATTCTGAGTTTTTTTTCTTTTCCCTCAAAACATTTCTGAGAGTTTACTACATACTTTTTTTTTTTTTTTTGAGACAGAGTATTGCTTTGTTACCCAGATGAGACTGTAGTGGTGTGATCTTGGCTCATGCAACCTCTACCTCCCAGGTTCAAAAACGATTCTCCTGCCTCAGCCTCCTTAGTAGCTAGTTTTACAGTAGCTGGGATTACAGCCAGCATGCCCGGCTAATTTTTGTATTTTTAGTAGAAACGGAGTTATGCCATTTTGGCCAGGCTGGTCTAGAACTCCAGACCTCAGGTGATCCGCCCGCCTCAGCCTCCCAAAGTGCTGGGATTCTAGGCATGAGCCACCATGCCTGGCCACAATACGTATTTTTTCTTTTTAGTCTCTTGTAATTAGATACTTGATGAAGCATCTCAATATAAGTGAGGTTGAGGGATGACGCACCAAAAGTGTGCATATTTACCTGTGGATGAAATGACAGAATGTTAGACACTGAGGAGGATCCGATTTACTGAATTTTCTGGTCAGCATAAAGTTGAACAAACTTAAAAAAATTATTTTGGTTGCCAGGATAACTTTTAAAATAAATCAGAGTAACTTTTTTGCCTGAATGAATAAAGTTTGTTAGAAGTCTTTTGCATCTTTATTATTGGCTGGTTTTACAGGGTTGGACTAAGCAATAATGAAAAGTCTTTGAATTTCTTGAAAGAAGTGAGTACCTCTATTACAGTGGTCCCCAACGGTTTTGGCACCAGGGACTGGTTTCATGGAAGACAGTTTATCCATGGATGGATGGGAGTATGGGGGATGGTTTTGGGATGAAACTGTTCCATCTCAGGTCATCAGACATTTGTTAGATTCTCATAGGCGTGCACAACCTAAATCCCTTGCATATGCAGTTCATAGTAGGGTTTGTGGGAATCCTTGCCTGCTCGCCTGCCCGCTGCTGCTGCTCACCTCCTGCTGTGCGGCTGGGTTCCTAATAGGCCACTGATGGGTACCAGTCCACAGCCTGGGGTTTGGGGACCCCTGCTCTGTTATACTCATTCCTTTCAATCATAACTTAGTTCTTATTTCTGTATTTTAATAATTTTAGGCAATGACCAGAGTGAGACTGGATTTCTTGGATCAACTAGCAAAATTTTGGGAACTTCAAGGATCTACTCTGAAGATCCCTGTGGTAGAGAGAAAAATCCTGGATCTGTATGCTTTGAGCAAGGTGAGGCTTATACTGGTTTAGAAATTAGAGCAGAGGCTTGTGAATTTAGGAATTTAAAATGAATTTGGTGGGAAATATTGCTTCCAATGGAGGATTTGTTTGATAGATGCCCTAGCTGGGCATGGTGGCATGTGCCTATAATCCCAGCTACTCAGAAGGCTGAGGCAGGAGAATTGCTTGAACCTGGGAGGCGGAGGTTGAGGTGAGCTGAGATCGCGCCATTGCCCTCCAGCCTGGGCAATAAAAGTGAAACTCCATTTCCAAAAAAAAAAAATGAAATGCACATTTGAATAAATGGAAATGACAGACCTCAAAGTTATCTTTAAAAGTTACTTTATATTTGTTAATGAGACTAATATTTATCAGGCTCTGTGATATGCAATATGCAAAATAAATGACTATAGCCTGCTAATATTATATTGTACTGCATGTACAATGTTCTGTGTTGATCTTGTCATCTTTTTTTGTTGTTGTTGTTACTTAATTGAAAATTTGGGCCAGGCACAATGGCTCACGCCTGTCAACTGAGCACTTTAGGAGGTTGAGGTGGGAGGATCACTTGAGCCTAGGAGTTAAGAGACTAGCCTGGCAACATGGCAAAACCCTGACTCCGATAAAATTAGAAAAAGTTAACTGGGCATCGTGGTGCACACCTGTAGTCTCAACCACTCAGGAGACTAAGGTGGGAGGATCACGTGAGTCCAGAAAGTCAAGGCTGCAGTGAGCTGTGATTATGCCGCTGCGCTCCAGCCTGGCGCCTGGTGACGGAGTGCGACTCTGTCTCAAAAAATAAAATAAAATAAAAATAAAGGGACTCATGTTACTCACCATTCTTATGTATAGTATATATTAGTTTTGTTAATACCTATATGTAGCGTTAATGACTAATTGAGGCCAGCATTGTTGGGTAGGATGAACAATAGCTCAGAAACTTAAGGGTGAAGAGTTTAGATAAATTTTCGTCCAAATTGTGTTAACTTTTTAACATTATATTCCCTAATGTTATAATGTGAAGAAAACTAACTGACCTGCAAGCTGAGATTATAACAACATTGAAATATGTTTTGTTAATACAATAATACAAATTTATTATTGCTTAATTATCTGAGAAATTTTGCAAAACAGCTTCTTTTTGTGGCCTTCCATACTTACAATTTATATACTATTTTGAAATAGAAATTTATTCTCATTTAAATTGCAGAGTTAATTTTGGAAGATTTCACTTTCAAGGAAAAAAAGTAAGAGTAATCAGCCACGTGTGGTGGTGCATACCTATAATCCCAGCACTTTGGGAGGCTGAGGTGGAAGGATTGCTTGAACCTAGGAGTTCGAGACCAGCCTGGGCAACATAGTGAGACTCTGTCTCTACAAAAAATTAAAAAATAAATAATCTGGGCATGGCGGTGGACTCCTATAGTCCTAGCTAATCAGGAGGCTAAGGCAGGAGGATCTCGAGAGCCAGGAGGTCAAGACTGCAGTGAACCATCATCACTCTACTGCATTTTAGCCTGGGTGACAGAGCAAGACCCTGTCTCCAAAAAAAAAAAAAGATGTTAGAATAATCATATTTATCTTTTATGATATGTTTTAGAATTAGTGTCAGGTCAGAATTCTCTTGCTAAAAAATTTGGGAAGTATGGTCTAATGCTAAAATACAGCTTGAGACTTAGTCAGGTGATGAGGTTAGTAAGCACTGTGCCAAAAGTGTTCTACTGCAGTTATATGAAAACCTATGGTGCTCAAGAACAAATTATGCTAAATTTGAGGCCTAGGTTTACTATAGGGAACCATTAGGATAAAAATTTGTTTTAAGAACTTAATTTTGATGTTTTTATTCAGTCAGAACTTACCTATTACATTTTGCTGTATGATGCTGTTTAAGGTTCTGAATGTGTTTGACTGTTACTTGAATAAAATACAAAAAATTTTCAAAAATTGGCCGGGGTAGTGGCTTACACCTGTAATCCCAGCACTTTGGAAGGCTGAGGTGGGTGGATCACCTGAGGTCAAGAGTTCAAGACCAGCCTGGCCAACACGATGAAAACTTGTCTCTACTAAAAATACAAAAATTAGCTGGGTGTGGTGGTAGGCACCTGTAATCCCAGCTACTTGGAAGTTTCAAGCAGGAAGTTGCTTGAAACCAGGAGGCAGAGATTGTAGTGGGCTTGAGATAGCACCACTGCACTCCAGCCTGGGCAACAAAAGTAAAACTCTGTCTCAAAAAAAAAAATTGTTTTTCAAAAATTATTATTATTTTTATTTTTTATTTTTTTGAGTCGGAGTTTCACTCTTGTTGCCCAGGATAGAGTGCAATGGCACAATCGTGGCTCACTGCAACCTCCGCCTCCTGGGTTCAAGCGATTCTCCTGCCTCAGCCTCCTGAGTAGCTGGGATTACAGGCATGTCCCACCACGCCTGGCTAATTTTGCATTTTCAGTAGAGACGGAGTTTCTTTTTTTTTTTTTTTTTGAGACAGAGTTTCGCTCTTGTCACCCAGGCTGGAGTGCAATGGCGCGATCTCGGCTCACCGCAATCTCCGCCTCCTGGGTTCGGGCAATTCTCCTGCCTCAGCCTCCTGAGCAGCTGGGATTACAGGCACACGCCACCATGCCCAGCTAATTTTTTGTATTTTGAGTAGAGACAGGGTTTCACCATGTTGACCAGGATGGTCTCGATCTCCTGACCTCGCGATCCACCCGCCTCGGCCTCCCAAAGTGCTGGGATTACAGGCGTGAGCCACCGCGCCCGGCCGAGAGATGGAGTTTCTTGATGTTGGTCAGGCTGGTCTCGAACTCCCAACCTCAGGTGATACACCCACCTCAGCTTCCCAAAGTGCTGGGGTTACAGGAGTCAGCCACCATGCCTGGCCCTCAAAATTTATTTTGTCATTAATAACAGTATGTTGTGATACTCTTTAATGAAGCTCTTTCCACTTTTTTGTTTTAGAAAGAGTCTCACTTTGTTGCCCAGATTGGAGTGCAGTGGCACAATCTTGGCTCACTGCAACCTCCACCTCCCAGATTCAAGTGACTGTCATACCTCAGCCTCCTGAGTAAATGGGGCTGGGATTACAGGTGCATGCCACCAAACCTGGCTAATTTTTGTGTTTTTAGTAGAGATGGGGTATTATCACATTGGCCAGGCTGGTCTTAAACTCCTGACCTCAAATGATCTACCCACCTTGGCCTCCCAAAGTGTTGGGATTACAGGTGTGAGCCACTGTGCCTGGCCACATTTTTATTTCTTGTTTTCATAAATACCCTAAGGAATTTACTAGAGTATTTATTAATCGTGTAAGTAGTAATCTATTAAATTGAAACTTTTGGTATCAGTGATAAGGAATTTACTAGAGTATTTATTAATAGTAGGAGTAGTAACCTATTAAATTGAAACTTTTGGTATCAGTGATTTTTCAATTAATAGATAAACCTCAGGTTTAATCTGATGATAAGTTAAATTGCATTATTTGGTTTTCTTTTCTTTTCCTTTCTTTTTTTTTTTTTTTTGAGACAGTGTCTTCTTCTGTTGCCCAGGTTAGAGTGTAGTAGCACGATCTCAGCTTACTGCAACTACCTGCCTCCTGGGTTCAAGTGATTCTCCTGACTCAGCCTCTGCAGCAGCTGGGACTGCAAGCATGAGCCACCATGCATGGCTAATTTTTGTATTTTTAGTAGAGACAGGATTTCACCATGTTGGCCAAGCTGGTCAAGAACTCCTGACCTCAAGTGATTGCCCATCTCACCCTCTCAAAGTGCTGGGATTACAGGCGTGAGCCACTGAGCCCGGCCACATTTTTCTGGCTTTCTGAAGTTATAGAATTTCAAAATCAGGAAAGGGCTTTTAGGGGTAACCTAGTCTGAATACTTGGTTGTTCACAATTCTCTTCACAACATTTGTCGTTCAGACTGTTTAACACCATCTTGAGAATCCCATTTACTTTTAAGGTTCAAACTACTAATAAAGTACACTTTATTGAAATATTTGGAAAAAAACCTGGGTGCGGTGGCTCACGCCTGTAATTCTAGCACTTTGGGAGGCCAAGGTGGGTGGATCACCTGAGGTCAGGAGTTCAAGACCAGCCTGGCCAACATGGTAAAGCCCATCTTAAAAAAAAAAAAAAAAAAAGAATGAAATATTCGGAAAACTTACTGAAAATGCATTGTAATTAAAGGTTAAGTGTGCTTATCTGAGGGGTTATTGGAGTCCTGTCTTTTGTGGGGTTTTTTAAGTCCTCATGGACATCTTTCCCCTAACCTGTGAGAACATTTGCAAAACAGATTTAAAGCTAAAAGACAAACTTCAATTTGTAGTTATTTTGTTTGTAATACTTTTGTTCCCTAAATGTCATTGTGAGATTTCTGCTTCTCACATTAACTTTTTTCTTTTATATTGAGGTGTAGCTTACAGTGTAAGCTACAAATTTTAAGTGTACAGTTCAATAAATCTTCATATATGTATACACCTGTTTTGTAGCCATCACCCAGATCAAGATACATGACTTTTCTTTTTGCTTTTGAGACGGAGTCTTGCTCTGTCACCCAGGCTGGAGTGCGATGGCATGGTCTCAGCTCACTGCAGCCTCCATCTCCAGGGTTCAGGCAATTCTCCTGCTTCAGCCTCCCAAGTAGCTAGGATTCTCCCCCACACCCGGCTACTTTTTCTATTTAGTTGGGACAGGGTTTCACCATGTTGGCCAGGCTGGTCTTGAACTCCTGATCTTGTGATCCGCCTGCCTCGACCTCCCAAAGTCTTGGGATTACAGGCGTGAGCCACTGCGCCCGGCTGATGCATAACATTTTCATAGCACTCTAGTGGGTTCTTTCATCTCCCTCCCAGTCAGTACTTCACAAAAGTAATTTATTCTGACCCTTATCAATGGGTGACTGTTTATTTCATTAACGTGACATTTTATTCTAGCAAGAGGCTTGGGCTGAAAACCGCAGAAAATACCAAGAGTTCGTATGTTTTAAGGTTGTTAGTGGTGTCCTTTCTTTTTTTAAAAAAAGTTTATTTTTGGCTGACAGTTTATTGGCATCTATTGAGTTTTGTTTTTTATAGATATGATTTGAAAATACTGTGATTCACATTGCATTTTAATGGGAAGCAAATTTTCAGTCTTAGTCATTAAATCATCAATGTGATGGATTCCTGTTTTGATTAAATCACATCTTTCTCCCTATTATTTTTAATAATAAAAAGTATTACTAGGCCAGGCGCGGTGGCTCATGCCTGTAATCCCAGCAATTTGGGAGGCTGAGGCGGATGGATCATGAGTTCAAGATCATAATCTTGAACTGGCCAACATGATGAAAACTTGTCTCTACTAAAAATACAAAAATTAGCTAGGTGTGGTGACTTGCGCCTGTGATACCAGCTACTTAGGAGGCTGAGGCAGGAGAATCGCTTGAATCCCGGAGGTGGAGGTTTCGGTGAGCCTAGCTCGCACGCACCACTGCACTCCATTCTGGTGACTCCATCTCAAAAAAAAAAAAAAAGAAGTATTACTTGGAATGCCTGTAATTTAACAGACTTCTATATTACTAATTACTGTTTTTATAACCACTTCAGCAAGAAGCATTCAATCTAGCCCTTCTCTTTAAAACATTTTTATTCTTGTCAAAGTAGTACACTTTTAAAAAAAACAAGGCTTTGGCTGGGTATGGTGGGCTCACACTTGTAATCCCAGCACTTTGGGAGGCCAAGGCAGGAGGATCATTTGAATACAGGAGTTCTAGACCAGCCTCCTGGTCTAGACATAGGGAGACCCTGTCTCTACAAAAAAATTTTAAAAGATTACCTGATTGTGGTGGCACATGCCTATAGTTGCACCTACTCGAGAAGCTGAAGCTGGAGGATTGCTTGAGTCCAGGAGTTTGAGGCTATGATACCTCTGATTGCACCACCTGGGCGACAGAGTAAGACCCTGTTTCTTAAAAAAAAAAGAGAAAAAAAAGAAGGCAGCTTAAAATGAAAATCAGCATCTCCCTTAATCTCCACCCCCATTCCCACTCCTCAGAGCTAATCACTTTCAGTTCTTTTAGTGGTTTCTGATTTTGATCCTCATATTTCCAAACAATATGCTCATTATGCTATTTTTTCTTTTCTCAGCTTTAAATGTTGTATATTGATTTCCTCCTGTTGAAGATGGAGAATGGGTGTAAGAGATCTTAAGTCCTCCCATACTTTATGTTCCTCTTCCCCTTCTAGTGTAGTTACATTTATATGTTCCTCTTCCCCTTCTAATGTAGTTACATTAATTTTTTATTAATCTAAAATTAATACTGTGAAAAATATATTTTCAAACTTTCCAGCAGAAATATACATCGCTCATTATGCTTCTACCCATCAGATAATCTGTCAGCTTTATTTTCTTGGAGCCATTCTTCCAGGAGTCTTTTTTACCTCAGATCTTGACTGGTTGTTTCTTAAAGTTCGACTGTCAGTCTGGAACTTCCTTTTATTGCCGTCATTCTGGGAATTCCTTGGCCTTTTTCCTTGTTGCAAGTCTTCCTTTTACTTGGTTTACTCTCATTTTGGTGAAACGTTTCTTCTGCTAGTTTCATGAGAAAGATAGTAGTGGGATGTAAATTTTTTAGGACTTCTTGCTTGTGTAAAAATGTTCTGCCCTTATACTTTCTTAGTAGTTTGGTGGGGTTTAAAAGTCTAGATTGTGAATCATTTTACTGTAGTATTTGTAAAGCTTTACTCCATTGTCTTGGTGAGAACGATGCTATATTAATTCTTGTTTTTTTGTGTGTGTGACTTTTTTTTCCCTGAAGATTTAGGATCTTACCTTTATTCCCAGGGCTTTGAAATTTCACAGTGATAATGTATTGGTATGTGTTTATTTTCATTCACTGTTTTTATGGCTCTCAATAACCTCTCTTATCTGATAACTCATTTCTTCCAGTTCTTCTAATTTTTCCTGTATTCTTTGATAAGTTTATTATTTTTTCTCTTCTTCTGGACTATTTGCTAGTTAGATATTAGACTTGTTAGGCTGGTCCTCTAATTTACTTACCTATTGCTTTCTTAGTTCAGCATCCCTTCTGTTCAAACTTTGCTGAGAGTAAATCTCCAGTTTTCTGCTGGGGCTAGAGAGGGATAGTTGCCTGGAGGAGGTCTAACTGTTTACACAGGTCTTCACAATCTCATTCTCGCTGCATTGCCACCCTTAATTTTAGAGGTACTGCTGCTTTTGCTTCTTAAGCCTTTTTTTTTTTTTCTCTTTTTTTAGAAAAGGGAGGAAGGGCGTCCTCTTAAGCCTTTCCAGGTTCTATGTTGCAAAAGCTTCTCTGGCTTTTCTCTGTTGCAGGGCACTTAGTTTTAAACTTGTAGTTTAAAAGTACACCTGGTTTTTCTGTTTTGTTATTGCTTTGGCTTGTTAGATATCTCTAGCTTCAAAATATTGTTTACATTTCTTTGTATTTGGTTTCTTTCTTGGTCTATTTGACCCCTTGAGAGGATGCCTTTTTGTTTCTTTCTGGTCTTTCTACTGGAGTTTTTAGAGGGATCTTTTAAGTAGAAGACTGTTCTTTACGTATGTTAAAACTGTCTTTATTCCCAGCCATTTTGGTCTTGAGTGATACTACTTTTTGGTCAAGTTTTGATAAAGGGCTTGTCTTCATTGTGTTCAGTTCAAGTGCATGCCGTATGTCTTTTTATAGAGCAGGGTTCATAGTGATATTTCTGGTGACAATGCTGTGATGTAGTACATGGCAAACATTTGGAATAAATGGTTTATATTTTATATTTTATTTTTATTTATTTGTTTTTGAGACATCACTGTTGCCCAGGCTGGAGTGCAGTGGCCTGATCCCAGCTCACAGCAACCCCCGCCCCCCAGGTTCAAGTGAGTCTACTGCTTCAGCCTCCCAAGTAACTGGGATTACAGGTGCCTGCCACCATGCGTGGCTCATTTTTGTACTTTTAGTAGAGATAGGGTTTCACCATGTTGGCCAGGCTGGTTTGGAACTCCTGACCTCAGGTGATCCACCTGTGTCAGCCTCCCAGTGTACTGGGATTGTAGGCATGAGCCACCGTGCCCTGGTTTATATTTTAAAATTATGCATGATAATCCTTGAATCTGTCAGCTGAAGAAATACAGGTATAAGGTTTTGCGTGTTTTTTGGTTAGATTGTTAGAGTATTGTATACATGGAGCCTAAGTAATGGTTTTGTTTTCTATGTGAGATAGTTTATTCCTTTGTCATGGCCATATCCTGGCTGCTACTAATCACCAGAACTGAGTGGGACATCATGACTGGATCCATGCAGATATATCATAACTAATGGAAATTTAGCTTGAAATGCTTTCAATACAAAGCAGATTACTATGTAAAAGTGATTATTGTATGGGATAGTAAAGATTAGCCAATTTATCTTATTTTCTACCTTAATAAATTCTGTACTCCATATCAGTAAATCTACTTCAGTCTAACCTTTCCTCAGTGTTCCTTCATAATCTTCCATATAAAACTCTTGTCCTTTTGAAAAACTATAGCCTGTTTTTCAAAACCGTTCTTTATATTCATGGTTTGATTGACATTTTTGTTAAGTTCTGTAAGTTACTTGGTATTTCTAAATTCAGGATTTATGTTTATTTGTGTTATATAACATTTTCATGTCTATTTTTGTCTGTTTTTATTCTTATTTCATACTGTGAGTTCCTTGAGTACATAAGTTTTATATGTGTATTTAGTTTTCTCACAGTGCATACTATACAAAGTATTAATTCATTAAATATTTTTAAATGCTTGGTTTGAAGGTAGGCATAATAATATTAATTAAATTTTAAACCTCTGTAAATCATTGTTTCTATTTCTTACTCTAAATGTTGACAGATGTCAGTTTGGTTACATACTCATTGAAAGGAAAATTTGAAATTTAAGCCCAGAATAATTTTTCTATTTAGTAGACAGACTTAGAGTCAGGATGCTTGAATCTACTTTTTTTCTCTAAGAAACTTTTACTTGCTTTTCAGATTGTTGCCAGCAAAGGAGGTTTTGAAATGGTCACCAAAGAGAAGAAATGGTCTAAAGTGGGTAGTCGCTTGGGATATCCGCCAGGAAAAGGAACTGGGTCTCTTTTGAAGTCACATTATGAAAGAATTCTCTACCCATATGAGTTTTCCAATCTGGTGTGAGCCTTATGGTGAGATGCATCATTCTTTTTAGAAAAAGTTGATAAATCCAGTTGCTCAAGTATAAACTTTAGACTATGTTTAACCCAAGTTAGCAGGCACCAAAATTTGGGGAAGCAAAGTGTATGTCATAGTGTAAAATTATAGCTATTTTTGGTGGTTTGCAAGATAAAGCATAATGGGAATGAAGAGTATTTTTTTATTTATTTAAAATAAACCTTTATGACTGAAAGTTTTTGAAAAAGTCCTCCTGTTTGTTTCATGTATTTTTTAACAACAGCTTTATTAGGTATAATTTATATACCATAGAATTCACCCTTTGTGGGTGCACAGTCAGTAAGCTTTAAGAAGTTTCTACATTTATGCAGCAATCACTGTGATCCAGTTTTAGAGTACTTCCACTAGCCCCCAGAATTGTCTTGTTCATTTGTAGTTGGTTCCTGTTCCACTCCCACACACAGGCAATTCCTAACCTGTTTTCTGGCTCTATAGTTTTGCCTTTTCTAGAAATTTCACCTAGGTGTAATCATACAATATGATTTTGTGTCTGGCCTTTTTCACTTAGCCTAATGTTTTCAGAGTTCAGCCGTGTTGGCTGGGTGTGGTGGCTAATACCTTTAATGCCAGCACTGTCGGAGGCTGAGGTGGGTGGATTGCTTGAGGCCAGGAGTTTGAGACCAGTCTGGGCATCATGGTGAAACCCTGTTTCTACTAAAAGTTAAAAAAATTAGCCAGATGTGGCGTGCGCCTGTGGACCCAACTACTCCAGAGACTGAGGTGAGAGGATTGCTTCAGCCTGGGAGACAGAGGTTGCAGTAAGCTGAGATCGTGCCACTGCACTCCAGCCTGGGTGACAGAGTAAGACCCTGTCTCAAAAAAAAAAAAAAATTCATCCACATTATAGCATGTGTCAGTACTTGATTTTTATGGCTGAATAATACTCAGCTGCATGGATATACCACATTTTGTTTATCCACTTACCAGGATATTTAAATTGCTTCCAGTTTATGGCTATTATGAATACTGTGAATATTCATATACAAGTCTTTGTGTGGACATATGTTTTTATTTCTCTTGGGTAGATACTTGGGAGTGGAATCACTGGGTTATATGTTAAGTTTATGTATAAATATTTTTTTTTTGAGACAGAGTCTTGCTCTGTTGCCCAGGCTGCAGTACAGTGGTGCAATCTGGGCTCGCTGCAACCTCTGCCTCCTGGGTTCAAGCGATTCTCCTACCTTAGCCTCCTGAGTAGAGTAGTTGGTACTACAGGTGCATGCCACCATGCCCAGCTAATTTTTGTATTTTTAGTAGAGATAGTGTTTCACCATGTTGGCAAGGCTTGTCTGGAACTCTTGACTTCAAGCAATCCGCCCACCTTTGTCTCCCAAAGTGCTCGGATTATAGGCGTGAGCCACTGTGCCTGGCGTGTGTAAATTTTTAAGAACTGTCAATTTGTTTTCCAAAGTAGTTGAATCATTTACTTTCCCACCAGTAATACAGATGCTTCCAGTTTTTCTACATCCTGGCCAACACTTGGTATTGTCAGTTTTTTAAAATTATAGTCATTCTGGTCAGTTGTATAGTGATATCTTATTGTGGTTTTAATTTGCATTTCTCAAATGACTAGTGATGTGCATATTTTCTTTTTTCTTTTACTTGAAATGGAGTCTGCTCTGTTGCTCAGGCTGGAGTGCAAGTGGCGAGATCTCTGCTCACTGCAACCTCCACCTCCTCGATTCAAGCACTTCTCCGGCCTCAGCCCCCTGAGTACTGCTGGGATTACAGATGTGTGCCTCCATGCCTGACTAATTTTTGTATTTTTAGTAGAGATGGGATATCACCATCATTTTGGTCAGGCTGGTCTTGAACTCCTGACCTTGTGATCTGCCCGCCTCTGTCTCACAAAGTGCTGGGATTACAGGCATGAGCCACTGCACCTGGCTGCATATTTTCATATTCATATTATCCATTTGTATATCTTGGTGAAGTATCTGTTCAGATTTTTTTTTCTTTTTTTTCTATTATACTTTCCTCCAGAACAGATCTTTTTTTTTTAATTATATATATATTTTATTGCATTTTAGGTTCTGGGGTACATGTGAAGAGCATGCAGGATTGTTGCATAGGTACATACATGGCAATGTGGTTTGCCGCCTCCATCCCCATCGCGTATATCTGGCATTTCTCCCCATGTTATCCCTCCCCAACTCCTTACCCCTCACTGTCCCTCCTCTAGTGCCCCCTACAGACCTCAGTGTGTGATGCTCTTCTCCCTGTGTCCATCTGTTCTCATTGTTCAACACTCGCCTATGAGTGAGAACATGCGGTGTTTGATTTTCTGTTCTCGTTTCAGTTTGCTGAGTATGATAGTTTCCAGGTTCATCCATGTCCCTACAAAGGACACGAACTCATTGTTTTTTATGGCTGCATAGTATTCCATGGGGTATATGTGCCACATTTTCCTTGTCCAGTCTATCATTGATGGGCATTTGGGTTGGTTCCAAGTCTTTGCTATTGTAAACAGTGCTGCAATGAACATACGTTTGCATATGTCATAATAGAATGATTTATAATCCTTTGGATATATACCCAGTAATGGGATTGCTGGGTCAAATGAAATTTCTATTTCTAGGTCCTTGAGGTATTGTCACATTGTCTTCCACAATGGTTGAACTAATTTACACTCCCACCAACAGTATAAAAGCCTTCCGATTTCTCCACATCCTCTCCAGCATCTGTTGTCTCCTGATTTTTTTAACGATTGCCATTCTAACTGGCGTGAGATGGTATCTCAACATAGTTTTGATTTGCATTTCCTTGATGACCAGTGATGAGCATTTTTTCATATGTTTTTTGGCCTCATATATGTCTTCTTTTGAAAAGTATCTGTTCATATCCTTTGCCCACTTTTGAATGGGTTTGCTTTTTTTCTTGTTAATCTGTTTTAGTTCTTTGTAGATTTTGGATGTAAGTCCTTTGTCAGATGGGTAGATTGCAAAAATTTTTTCCCATTCTGTTGGTTGCTGGTTCACTCTAATGATTGTTTCTTTTGCTGTGCAGAAGCTTTGGAGTTTAATTAGATCCCCTTTGTCTATTTTGGCTTTTGTTGCCAATGCTTCTTGTGTTTTAGTCATGAAGTCCTTGCCTACGCCTATGTCTGAATAGTTTTGCCTAGGTTTTCTTATAGAGTTTTTATAGTGTTAGGTCTTATGTTTAAGTCTTTAATCCATCTAGAGTTAATTTTAGTGTAAGGTGTCACGAAGGGGTCCAGTTTCTGCTTTGTGCACATGGCTAGCCAGTTTTGCCAACACCATTTATTAAACAGGGAATCCTTTCCCCATTGCTTCTTTTTGTCAGGTTTGTCAAAGATCAGATGGTTGTAAATGTGTGGCATTGCCTCTGAGGCCTCTGTTCTGTTCCATTGGTCTATATCTCTGTTTTGGTACCAGTACCATGCTGTTTTGATTACTGTAGCCTTGTAGTATAGTTTGAAGGCAGGCAGCATGATGCCTCCAGCTTTGTTCTTTTTGCTTAGAATTGACTTGGCTATGTGGGCTCTCTTTTGGTTCCATATGAAGTTTAAGGTGGTTTTTTCCAGGTCTGTGAAGAGGGTCATTGGTAGCTTGATGGAGATAGCATTGAATCTATAAATTACTTTGGGCAGTATGGCCATTTTCATGATATTGAGTCTTCCTAACCATAAACATGGAATGTTTTTCCATTTGTTTGTGTTCTCTCTTATTTCCTTGAGCAGTGGTTTGTAGTTCTCCTTGAAGAGGTCCTTTACATCTTTTGTTAGTTGTATTCCTAGGTATTTTGTTCTCTTTGTGGCAATTGTGAATGGGAGTTTGTTCTTGATCAGATTTTCTTTTTTAATTGTATTGTTTGTCTTCTTATACTTGTAAGTTTGTTATATAGTTTGTGTACAAGTTGTTTATCAGGTAAATGATTTGTAGATCTTTTCTCCTATTCTGTGGTTTATCTTTTCATTTTTGTAATGGTGACTTTTTGAAGAACCATTTATTTATTTATTTTTTCCTTTTATGGATTGTACTTTTGGTGTCATATTTAAGAAATCATTTCCAAAGTCACAAAGATTTTCTTCTTTGCTTTAATATAGAAATTTCATAGTTTCGGCTTTCATATTTTGATCAGTGATGCAATTTGAGGCTTTTTTTGGGTATGTGTAGTGTGAGGTAAAGATGTAAGTTTATTTTGTAGTGGGGAAGGGAATATATGAATATTGAGTTGTACCAGCACCATTTGTTTAAAAGGCTTTTTCCCACTGATTTAACTTACCACCTTTGTTAGAAATCAGTTGACCATAGAAGTGTGGGTTTATTTTTAGGCTCTGTTGCCCTTTATTTCCCTACAGGCAGAGTCCACAAGGGAGACTAAAACATCCAACACCCCCCACTGACAACAGGCACGGCCAGGGAGCCTGGCACCCATCCTTAGCCCCAGGTCCTGTCCAGCACGAGGAGGAGCACACTCAGGTGATCTCAGGCTTCTCCCTGCCCCATGAGAATGTTACAGGTAGGGAAACTGAGGCACAAAAGGCTTTGGTAATGTGCTCAAAGTCAACAGTAAGCAAGTGCGTGTCTGGGGGAGCCCAGGCCTATCACCACCATCCTAAGTTGGTCACAACCTTAGGAAGCCAAAGGCTGTGGCCCTGTCCTTCCCTACCTTCCTTGGTGCAGTGCCCCAGGGAGACCAGACACCAGCCTGCACCACCGGCAGCCCACACTCCAGCCACCCAGGCCCAGACCCCTTGCCTCTCCTGCCTGTGCCTGGAGCTCACCGTGATCTGGACAGCCAGCAGGCCCTCCCCGGCATCTTTTGCATCGATGGTGAACTCCACGGGCAGGCTGGTGGGCATGCCAGTAGTGTTGAGCCCAGGGCCACTGGCCTTCACCTTGCTGCCATCATGACTAGGCAGCACCTTGACCTTGAAGGGGCTGTGGGCATGGTTGTCATGAGCAGTTAGATAGGCTCTAAGCATCCGGCCTGGACCTCCCCTCAGGCAGCGGGCCCTGCCTCTTACCTCTGGGGTACCTCTTCATCTCCATACAGTACTGAGATGCTGTAGGGCCCTTCTCGGCTGGGCAAGTAATTGACAGTCTGGGTGCCATGAGCATTGTCCACCACATCCACTGGCTCCACCAGGCGTGGCCCTAGGCCCAGGGACACAGCCTCAGCTCATATCCTGGGCCTCCACTCCTACCCCACCTCTCAATGGCCAGGACTCAGCCCCAGGCCTAGACCTTGCTTCATCCCCATCAGCCCGACCCTGGGAATGGCCCTGACCCTCTCTGGCACAAAAGACGCCCATCTGGGTGCCAGCTGGGACCCTTGCCTGCGTGCCTTCCTGCCACATCTGCTAAGTGACAAAGTCCTGTCTGTTCTACCTCCTCCCAGTCCCCCTCCTGGCTGCACTGTCATTTGAGGCTCTTCCAAAAAAAACCTGCACACTAGCAGTCTCCTTCCTGACTCTCGGCTCCAGGCATGCAAACACTCACCTTTGGGCCCTTGCACTTTGACCTGCAGTGGGGCCACATCAGCCTTGCTTGTGTCCACCTGGAAGGACTGAGGAAGGTTGGCACGAACCATGCCAGGACTCAGGCCAGGTCCAGAGCACTTGACCTTGGATGCCTCTGTCACATCATGCACAGGGACCATGAAAGGACTGCCTGAGGGGTGGGTCAAAGGGATGGTGACTATATGAGACAGGGTGGGGACAAGCAGATAGTTCCAGCCCTGCGCTGGCTGCCACCTCCTCACCTGGTACTTGATGTCCACCATAGGTGACGTTGAGGCTGTAGGTGCCAGGCTCATAGGGGATGTACTCGACTGAGCAGCTGCCATCCTTGTTGTCCATGAAGGACCTCTTGGCCTTGGAGGGGCCCTCTACAGCCAGGCCCAGGCTTCCCGTGCCAGCTCCCCTGGTCCAAAGAGACAGCCACTCATTCCCGGGGTTCCCAGGCCCCTCGGCCACACAGGCACTCGGGGCCCCCTCACCTGGTCTCCACGGTGAACTTGTTGGTGGTGCCGCTTTGGATGCCTGGCCCGTGGACACACACCCAGGAGGGGTCTCAGCCCTCGGTCACGGGCACCTGGAAGGGGCTGCTGGGCACAGGGCTGCCCTCATAGGTCACGTCCATGGAGTGCAGTCCTGGAGGAGTGCAGGCCGGGTCAGGAGGAGCCCGGGCTGTACTACCCACCCCCACCCGCCGGCCTGCAGGAGCCCCAGCACGGACCCTCCTCATAAGGGCTGCACTCCACTTTGTAGGTGCCGTCGCTGCAGTCCTGCACGTAGGTCTCTGTCAGGTTGCCTGAGGGGTTGGGCACGAGGGCCTTGATGGGTGGCCCTCCAGTCTATGTGAGGGCCCGGGCATCCACACTGAACTCAGTGGTGGCCTCTTGGAAGATGCCTGCAAAGGGACACAGGGAGGAGGCTTGGGGCTCTGGTCCCTGTGCCCCCACTGCCACATACCACACAGCAGGGCCACTCACCCTGGCCCTCAATCCCAGGCCAGTAGCACTGGATGCCAGAAGTGTCCATGCAGGCTCCACCTGCAGCTTGCTGGGGAAGTGGGGCACAGGCTGGCCGCCATACTTGATGGTGGCAGTGTAGGCCCCGGGGCAGAGGGGAATGTATGTGATGGTGTGCATGCCATCGCCATGGTCCTGGATGTACACCTCGGCTGGCATCCCCGCCTCTGAGCAGATCTCGATGGTCAGCTCTGCACTGCCTGTGCTGGAGCAGTCCACTTGGAATTGGCCCACCTCCCCAGCGGTGGCCCGCTCTGGCCCAGGGCCTGAGCACTTGACCTTGGATGCATCAAAGCAGGGAACCATGTGGGCCTCGAACAAAGAGCCAGGGATGTGGGTGTCAGCAGAGAGGACTGCCCGGAAGGACCCAGACCAACATGGTGAAACCCTCTCTACTGAAAATACAGCAATTCCTGACCAACATGGTGAAACCCTGGCTCTACTAAAAATACAGCAATTAGCCAGACACGGTGGCACGCGGGAGGCTGAGGCAGAAGAATCTCTTGAACCTGGGAGGCAGCCAAGATCGCAGCACTGCACTCCAGCCTGGGCGACAGAGCAAGACTCCTTAACAAAAAAAAGAAAGAAAAAGAAAGGTCCAAATCTCTAGATGTGGAAAAAAAGAAAAGAAAAGAAAGAAAGGGAGAGTCCAGCCTGATGGCTCACGCCTGTAATCCCAGCACTTTGGGAGGCCGAGGAGGATGGATCATGAGGTCAAGAGATCGAGACCATCCTGGGCAACATGGTGAAACCCTGTCTCTACTAAAAATACAAAAAACTAGCTGGGCACAGTGGTGCATGCCTGTAATCCCAGCTACTCAGGAGGCTGAGGCAGGAGAATTGCCTGAACCCAGGAGGCGGAGGTTGCGGTGAGCCAACATCGCGCCATTGCACTCCAGCCTGGGTAACAAGAGCGAAACTCCATCTCAAAAAATAATAATAATAAATAAATATTAAAAATAAAAAAGGGAGAAAGGGGAAAAGAGAGAAGGAAGGAGAGAAGGGAGGGAGTGGGAGGGGGAGGGAAGGGAAGGGAGAGAAAGAAAAAGAGGGAAAGGAAGGAGGGGGATGGGAGGGGAAAGGAGGGGGAAGGGAGGAGAGAAGAATGAAGGAAAGAGAAGGAAGGCAGCAAGGGAAGGAGGAAGGGAGGGAGGGAGAAGGGAGGAAGGAAGGGAGAGAGGGAGAAGGGAGGAAGGGAGAGAGGGAGGAGGGAGGAAAGGAGGGGGAGGGGAAAAGGAGGGAGGGAGGGAGGAAAGGAGGGGCGAGGAGGAAAGGAGGGGCGAGGAGGAAAGGAGGGAGGGAAGAGGGGGAGGGGGAAGGAGGGAGGGAGGAAAGGAGGGGCGAGGAGAAAAGGAGGGAGGGAAGAGGGGGAGGGGAGAAGGTGGGAGGGAGGGAAGGAGGGAGGCAGGGAAGGAGGAGGAAGAGACGAAGGAAGGAAGGGAGAAGGGAAGGAAGACAGGAAGACATTTTCAGGGGCCCCTAAAAGCCTCCCGGGCCTCATCCCGTTGTGTCCTCTGGACAGATGGAACTAACTCCTTTGACAGATGAGAGCTCACACAGCTGTACAATCATAACCACAGTGGACTCGCTCAGCAGTGCTCCTTGTCCTGAGCTCATGCTCAGGATCAACCTGGTGGGGCCTCCTCAGAACACCAGGGGTTTCCCCCAGCAGACCCCGGGACAGCAAGAGGCCTCCACCCCCAGGAAAACGCCCAAAATATGATGATACTGGAGGAGGAGGGGGTACCCCGTGGAAGTCCACCCACTCCCATCCTGCGGTTCTGCAATCTTAGTCATGCAGCGTCTTCAGCGAGGTGATGAATTAAATGTTCTTTTCATTTTAAAAAGGGGCCGGGCATGGTGGCTCATGCCTGTAATCTCAACACTTTGGGAGGCCAAGGCAGGAGGCTGGCTGGAGCCCAGGAGTTGGAGACCTCACTGGGCAACATAGCGAGATCCCATCTCTACAAAAAATAAAGTTAGTGGGGTGGGGTGTGCCTGTAGTCCCAGCTACTTGGGAGGCTGAGGAAGGAGGATGGCTTGATCCCAGGAGTTTGAGGCTGCAGTAAGCCATGATTGCACCATTGTGCTGCAGCAGCCCGGGCAACAGAGCCACATCCTACCTCTTTTTTTTTTTTTTTTGAGACCAATTTTACTCTTTCGCCCAGGCTGGAGTTGAGTGGCGTGATCTCAGCTCACTGCAACCTCTGCCTTCTGGTCTCAAGCGATTCTCCTGCTTCCTCAGCCTCAGCCATCGCTTAAGGTTGGAAGTTCAAGACGGGCCTGACCGGCATGGTGAAACCCATCTCTACTAAAATTACAAAAATTAGCTGGGCATGGTATTGGGCACCTGTAATCCCAGCTACTAGGGAAGCTGAGGCAGGAGAATCATTTGAACCCAGGAGGTGGAGGCTGCAGTGAGCTGAGATCACGCCAGTGCACTCCAGCATGTGGGCAACAGAGGGAGGCTCCATCTGAAAAAACAAACAAAAAACATAAAATACACACAGGCAGAAACCATCATCTTAGAGCGTGAAAATGAGGAGGATGCTGAGAACCCTGGCAGTCTTTCTGCTTTTTGAGATGGAGTCTCACTCTGTCGCCCAGGTTGGATTGCAGTGGCACAGTCTTGGCTCAGTGCAGGTTCTGCTTCCTGGGTTCAAATGATTCTCCTACCTCAGCCTTCTGAGTAGGTGAGATTACAGGTGCCAACTACCAGGTCTGGCTAATTTTTGAATATTAGTAGAGAGATTGTTTCACCATGTTGGACAGGCTGATTTCAAACTCTTGGCCTCAAGTGATCCACCCACCTTGGCCTCCCAAAGGGCTGGGATAACAGGCAGGAGCCACCGCACCCGGCCCCGTCAGTCATTAATCAATGTCTCCAGGACAGCAGCTCACTTCTCAGCCTCACTTTCCAAATATTCTGTGGGCTTGTATCCAGCAGCCGTTTGTATTCTTGTGTGAATTAATCATTCATTTCTTTGCATGGTTTTCTATTTGAGTTTTTTCCTTATTGATTTGTTGGAACTCTTTGTATATGAAGGACCCAAATCTTCTGCCTCTTATGATGTTGCAAGTGATGTTTCAGCTGAGCCTCGTGCCTGTGGCCATATATTTTGACAATATACATATTGTCGAAATAAAATTTTTCTTTAAGAGAGGAGATCTCGACCCAACGCAGTGGCTCACACTTATAATCCCAGCACTTTGGAGTTTTTTGTTTGTTTGTTTGTTTTTCTTTTTTTCTTTCTACATAAGGAACACTTTGGAATTTTTAACACTGGAGTTGAGGGGTGATCAAAATGTGAGGTGGGCGGATCATGAGGTCAAGAGATCAAGACAATCCTGACCAAGGTAATGAAACCACGTCTCTATTTAAAATACAAAAATTAGCTGGGCATGGTGGCACATGCCTGTGTAGTCCCAGCTATTCGGGAGGCTGGGGAAGGAGAATTGCTTGAAGCCGGGAGGAGGAGGTTGCAGCGAACCGAGATCGCACCACTGCACTCCAGCCTGGTGCTTGGCAAAAGAGCGAGACTCTGTCTCAAGAAAAAAAAACAGAGAGAGAGACAAGATCTCACTCTGTCCCACAGGCTGGAAGGCAGTGGTACGATCATAGCTCACTGCAACCTCCAACTTCTGGACTCAAGGGATCCTCCCACCTCAGCCTCCCTAGTAGCTGGGACTATAACTGCACACCACCAGGCCTGGCTAATTTTATTTATTAATTTATTGTAGAAATGGGGTCTTGCTATGTTGCCCAGGCTGGTCTTGAACTCCCGGCCTCAAGTAATCCTCCCACTTCGACCTCCCAAAGGGCTGGGATTACAGATGTGAACCACCATTCCTGGCTCCCAAAACAAACACTTTTCAACCAAGGGAAAGAGAAAAAACGTCCAATATAAACTCTCAAGCTCATCCCACCTCTTCAAGATCTAAAGTAAGAACTGAAATTCTCCCCCACTCCCCAGAGTAACTGCCAAGCCCTGGGGCATTTCCTCCTTCACTTTTTCGATATGCTTTTTTTCCCCTTTACAAAAGCTTCACCTCAAAAGCAGCATCGGGGATCTTGAACTTGTATTTCATCCCCCCAAGAGCCTCAGGAGTCTCTTGGCTCCACCAAGCAGGCACGGGAACCGACTTGCGGGATGGTGGATGGCAGATTCCGTGTGCGGCCAGGATGGAGTTGTTGCACAGCTTGGTGGCTTCAAGTCAGGTGTTCTGTGCCACGAACACAGCTCTAATGCACAGCCCTGCCCAAGCCATCATGATGTGTCTTGTTTTTTTTTTTTTTTATTTACCTAAAAAAAATTTTTTTTAAAGAGATGGGGGTTTCACCATGTTGGCCAAGCTGGTCTCGAACTCCTGGCCTCAAGTGATCGACCCACCTCGGCCTCTCAAAGTGCTGGAATTACAGGCATGAGCCACCACGCCTGACCAATGTGTCTTGTTTTTAAAGGACTGCCTTGGCGTGGGTGAGCCCTGGTCATGCCATCATATTTATTATATTTATTAGACTTTTGTATTTTTAGCAAGGACTGAGTTTCAGCATGTTGGTCAGGCTGATCTCAAACTCCTGATGTGATCCACCCACTTTGGCCTCCCAAGGGGTTGGGATTACAGGCGTGAACCACCCTGCCTGGCCAGATTTATTAGCCTTATTATTTGAGATGGAGTCTCGCTGTGTTGCCCAGGCTGGAGTACAGTGGCGCGATCTCGGCTCACTGCAACCTCCATCTCCCAGGTTCAAGCAATTCTCCTGCCTTAGCTTCCCAAGTAACTGGGATTACAGGCACACGCCACTAGGCCCACCTAATTTTTGGGTTTTTAGTAGAGACGGGGTTTCACCATGTTGGCCAGGATGGTCTCAATCTCCTGACCTCGTGATCCATCCACCTCTGCCTCCCAAAGTGCTGGGATTACTGGCGTGAGCCACCGCGCCCGGCCGGATTTATGAGATTTTTAACACTGGAGTTGAGGGGTGATCAAAGGGATACAGAGGCAGGGCGTGGTGGCTCATGTCTGTAATCCCAGCACTTTGGGAAGCTGAGACAGGCAGATCACTGGAAGACAGGAGTTCGAGACCAAGCTGGCCAAGATGGTGAAACCCTGTCACCACTAAAAATACAAAAATTAGCTGGGTGTGGTGGTGCACACCTGTAGCTTCAGCTACTCGGGAGGCTGAGGCAAGAGAATCACTTGAACCAGGGAGGCAGAGGTTGCAGTGAGCTGAGATGGCACCATCGTACTCCAGCCTGGGTGACAGGGCAAGACTCTGACTCGCTCTTGGAAGGCCAAGGCAG